AAGTAATACAAAACAGCCTTTCTTACCACAAACCCAAAAATAGTACCAAAAAGTACCATAAAATGGCAAAAACGCGTACGCCACTTGAGATTCCAAGGACGTCTCCGATCCAAGTACTAATCAAGCGCACCGTTGCTTAACTTGCCAGATCGGACGGGATGGCGTGCGTTCAACGGGCTATGGGCGTACACAACTCTCTCTCTTTCCTTTTCGAACCCTCTCCTTTTGGGGCTGATTAGTGGGTTCAAAGGGGTAAAATGACAGTTGAAAAGGGTGTTTTTGTGTTTAAAATTTTTAGATTTTGCAAAAATCTTATTCTACGCTAATTTAGTGATAAAACAAGTTTTTAAAGCTTAAAAAACCAGACGATTTTACGTGAACATTCAAGTCAAATTAAATAATTGAAAATTAAGACTAATCAAAAAATTGTAGGCCTAATAAACAAAACAATTTTAAATATATGTTCCTTGCAAAAATTTGGTTTTTTACGCAATTTTTTATAAAGATCTGTTCCTTATAAAGTAAAAAAAAATCGCAAGAACTTTCTTTACAAATTTTTAAAAAAACCGCAAGAACTTTCTTTACAAACTTTAAAAAACCGCAAGAACTTTCTTTACAAACTTTAAAAAACCGCAAGAACTTTCTTTATAGCTTTTTAAAAACCGCAAAAACCTTCTTTACAGATTTAAAAAAACCGCAAAAACTTCCTTTATAATTTTTTTAAAAACCTTAAAAACTTTCTTTCCAATTTAAAAAAAACCCTTTTCAACATTAAAAAATCATTTTACAACTCAGTAAAACGCAAATACGAACATCTCGACATAATGAATACGCCGTGTTTTTTTTAATACCCAAAATATATTCATTAAAGTCATTGGAGCTTGAATTATGAATAAAAATACTTTTCGAATTACTGTGCCGACTAGACTTTTGAAGAGTAATTTTAGAGACTTGTAAATAAAGTATTCAAATTCTAGGTATAAACAACTTAAAAAGCATTTGGTAACACTTAACTTTACTTTTAATGACTTTGGAACAATGCCAAATGTTCGATTGCTGTTGTTTAAAAAAAGTTTATAGTTAGCAGTTTTTTTTATTTGTAAACAAAGTTCTTGCGGTTTTTATAACTTGTAAAAAAGTTATTGCGTTTTTTTAAATTGTAAAGAAAGTTATTGCGGATTTTTTAAATTGTAAAGAAAGATCTTGCGGTTTTTTTAAAGTTGTAAAGAAAGTTATTGCGGTTTTTTTAAATTGTAAAGAAAGTTATTGCGGTTTTTAAAATTGTAAAGAAAGTTATTGCGGATTTTTTAAATTGTAAAGAAAGTTATTGCGTTTTTTTAAATTGTAAAGAAAGTTATTGCGGATTTTTTAAATTGTAAAGAAAGATCTTGCGGTTTTTTTAAAGTTGTAAAGAAAGTTCTTGCAGTTTTTTAAAAATTTTAATCAAGAAACAATGTTTAGATTTGTAAAAAAAGTTTCTGCCGTCTCTTTGAAAAAAACCCCCCTGCTCCTGAAAGCGACCGGACCGAAAAAGAAGACCCAGCCCTTTTACAGCTATAACCCCACACCAAAAATCATGCCAAGAGTTGGAAACAGAACAAGAGGCCGATTAGGCCATAAAACGAATGCCGGGGGTTCAGGAAAGGCCAGAAATTGGAATGTTTATTGTTAAACCGCCTACATTTTCGGCTTTTCGACGCATTCAAAAGATTCTGCGTCAGAAGCAACAAAAAATTCAAAATACTACGTCACATTTTACTGTAAGCGAGAGAATTTTACTTACAAATTTGCAAAGAAACTTTGAAAATCGGAAACGAAACAAAAGGTTCCACAACTACTCAAATACTAAAAAAGACAAAAATCATCATAATATACTACGCATTCCAGGTATAATATCGAAAAAAGGCTAATATCTTAAAAATTATGTAAATTTACAAGCCAAAAACCAAAAATAAATTTATAAACACATCTTCTATTTCATTGATAAAGCTACACTTCATTAAAAAACAGCTAAATACAACTGTAAAACCAAGAATAACAATAGTTATCCCTTAATACCTAATGTAATATACACAACAGCTCATATCTCAAACACTGATCCAGAAATACAAACCAATCCTTCTTCTACGCTTTACACAAACTTAGAAGCTTGTATTAAATATATATTCAACATGATTTACATTAAATTTTACATCAAAAACACAAAGAGTAAATGGAAGTCAAGTGTAATATAAATTGCACATTTTTCTTAAAAAAAAATTAAACACATAATATGAATACTTTTACAACACCTCAGTCAATTTATTACGGTTTTTTATAACGCCAACTTCAACTAGACTTAACCTTATATAACCTTAAAAACTCAATGCGCAACTTCCACATCAAGTACAGGGTGTTCATTTATAAATGCCACTTTTTGAGAACTTGTTTCTCAAAAAATAGTTTTGTTGTAGTTTTTTAAGTTTTAAATAATCTGATTTTTGGTTGAATAAAAAATATTAAAAACGAAACGAGTTATGGCCTCTGCCGAAGAAACCTCTCTCCGCCGTTTTTTTCTCAAGGTGGCAATATTTACAAAAGTCAGCTCTTTTGAAGCACTTTAAATTCCGAATAGTCTGGTTTTTGTTTGGAAAAAAATATCAAGAACGGATCGAGTTATGGCCTCCGCCGAAGAGACCTCTCTCCGCCGAATTTTGCCTAAAAAAGCGAATTCTACGAAAATTTGCATTCTTGCAGCCCATTAAAATATAAATAGTCTAGTTTTTGTTTGAGAAAAAACATCAATAATGAATCGAGTTGTGGCCTCCGCCAAAAAAGCGTCTCTCCGCCGAATTTTTTTAAAAATTGCAAATTTTTCGAAAGTTGGTATTTTTGTAGCCCATAGGATTATGAATAACTTGTTTTTGGTTTGAAAAAAAATCGGTTAAAAATGAACGAATTTATGGCCTTCGCCGAAAACATCCATGAGTCCGCCGACGAGGAGAAAAAAATTTTTTTTTGCAATTTTGTTTATTTCTTTTGTTCATACGACAAAATCGACCACAAAAATCAGCATTCGAGAACCTATTGGTCAATTTTCAGCCTCCGCCGAGGTCCGCCGATCGTTCGCCGAATTCGAAAAAACCAATTAGCAAGCCAAAAATGGCCTATTTTTAAAAGTGCAGTGCAAAAAAAATTTTTTGCAATATCTTTAAAAACCGCCGAGAAAAAAGTTCTCAAAAAGTGGCATTTATAAATGAACACCCTGTATAATACCCAGATTCTCATTTTTTCCGAAAAAAACAAAAAACACAAACAAATACCTACCTTCTCAGTCTTGACAATTCTCTGATTAAGATTCTATAGACTTCACCCGTGTCCTGACTTCCAACGTCCCATATCTTCAATTCTAGTCCAACGGACCTAAAACAACATGATGAACAAAAACATTTCTATAATTAGCAATTTAAGAATAAAAACCAAAAGTTTATTTTAAAAAAGACTTATTTTTAAACAGTTTTATAAAATTTTAAAATTGAAACTACTTTTCACAGCTATTTTCAGCAAAACACCAAAATCAGGTTTTCGTGGTAGGACCATTTCGAAGGTCGATTGTAAACTTTACAAAGAAAAAACAGCTTTTTAAAAATCCAACAACAAGCAAACATAAAACAATAAAAAAAGCCACAAAACAAAAATAAGAACAAAAACACAACACACAGGTAACACACGACATTAACATATACCAACATAACCAACCTTTATATATTCGTGTCTTTATTCAATAAAATAACATAGTAAACACAAAATGTGACAACTTCAGTTAGACTGACATAACAATAGCATAAAATTGTAAAATTTACAAATTCTGAAAAAAAATTAAAATCCTGATGGAAATCCATTAATTCTTTCGCAAAACGTATTTTATACAAAATAAGAATGCGAAAGAGTTAATGAATCTTAAAATACAAAAGAAGGTGAATAACAATACAAATAACAAATATTAAAGCAAAAGAATTACAAGATTTGGCGTTAATAGTACCGGTATATTGCAGTAGGTACAATAAGAGGGGGCTCGTTTAATGCCATTTTTAATTGACAATTCCAAAAATTTTCAAAAACTTTTTAATTTTTAGGTCAGACATAACTTATTTTTTCAAATTTTAAAAAATTTCAAAAATTTTTTTAAAATTTCAAAATTTCAAAAAAAAATTTAAAATTTAAAAAAAATTCTTTTTAAAATTAAAAAATTCCATTTCAAATTGAATTTTAAGCTCAATAAAGTCTAAAAATATATAAACGAGCCCCTGACAGTAAAATACAACAGTTCTTATCCATATTGAGGATAATATTTGGCTGTTCAAATAATTCTGAGCCAATTAACCCTGAAACTTTTCTTGCAGAGGGGCTCAGAACTATTTGAAAAAATGTAGGTAAAGCGTTTACTGAGCTGGAAAATGCACAAAATTTAAAATTTTTTAATAATTCAAAATAAAAAAAGAAAAAAGAGGTGAGGACAATTGAAAAATTGCACAAAAACGACAAAATATTACCTAAAATTGGGCAAAATTTTCAAAAACCGCATAAAAACTACAAAAAATGTGAAAAAATCGACCGAAAATTACCAAAAATCTTGAAAAAATGAATTTAAAACGAAGAAAAATAGCAAAATGCCTCTGGCAATGTTTGTGAAATAGACCCGTTTAGAGATCCGAGGACTTAAAAATTTGTTCTGAACATTAGAAAATATAAAAATTGAGTAAAATCTAGATGAAAATGAATTTAAAATCAAAAAAGTCATCTGAAACCATGAAGATAAGCTTAAAATCAGCCACTAAATCAATATAACAGCCTCAAAATCAGCCGACAAACCACTAAAAAAGGCTTCAGAATCCACAGAAACAACCTTCTGAATCCCTCCTTCTAATCGACTTCACATTCCACCCCAATAAGCTTCAGAATCCTTCAAAAAATGACTTCAAAGACATCCAGAAGGTACCCAAAAGCCATGTGTTAGCCTTCTAAACATCGTCAGTCCGAACAATTGGAGCCTTGGTCGACGATGGTGGACTTGGAGATTCTGAAGGCGGGATCCGACGTACTGCTACTGGTCTTGTGGCTCTGTTTGACGGGTACTCTGGCGTCTAAAATTAGCTTTTGTCAATTAAAAATGGCATTTTTGACTGAAAAACGGCCAAAAATTAGCTAAAAATCGTTAAAAATGACCTTTTTCTAAACTTTTAGGCAACAAAATGACAAAATTTAAACTTTACATTAACGTAAAAGACATCAAAAACAAAATGTTACCTTTTCTTCCAAAATCACAGGTCGTCCTGGAATGATAACTGGTCTTGGCGGTGAATTTGGTGACAAATCTCCAAAGTCTGGTCGAATTTTTGGTGGTGGAGAACCGTTGGAAGTGCCATCTGTGTAATTATCGCCATTCATCAGAAGCTTTTCATCAGCTATAACATAAATAATCATTAATTGTAAAAAACGAAAATTCAAAAAACATGTTTTGTCGTATAACATGTCTTCCGCAGGCTACAAACGCTGTTTTTAGCTTAAATTCCTTTACTTTTTAAATATGTTATATTATAATTTCATCCTTATCACTTCTAAACCATCAACATCATAAACAGTCACGTAAAAAGCTTAAAGACATGTCTCATCGTATAACTTGCTCCGCGCAGGCTGCAATCGCTCGTTTTTTCTCAAAATAACGCAATTTTCCTAAAACGTTTTTAACAGTGTTCTTTTTTATCAATTACAGAACTTATATTTAAAAAAAAACTCCAACTAACTTAAAGGGCACATTTCATCGTATAAGTTAGTAAGCGCAAGCAGCAAACGCTCTTTTTTGCTTAAAATGCCATTATTTTTTAAACATCTCATATTATAATGACATCCTTATCACTTCTAAACCATAAGAGTCATAAACAGTTCATCAAGAAATAAAAAAACTAAAAAAGAAAAACACGTTTCATCGTATAACTTGGTCCGCGCAAGCTGCAAACTCTCTTTTTTTGTTTAAAACCACAATTTAAAAAAAAATCTACCAAAAAATAAATAAACTTTCAAAACACTTCAAAAATTTATTATAATAGCCCTTACCAGGTGTATAACCGCTTGTTATAGTAGTTTTGTAAACATGTCGTCTTCCTCGTTTGTAGCACCATCCCAGAATCAAAAACACGACCACCAGTATCAATAATATTGTCACAATCAGGCTGATTAGTGGCGTTCGTTCCGAGTTGAAGACATGTGAGGTACCATCCGGATCGTAGACTCCAACCAGTCCCAGAGTGGTGCTGTTGTCGTTCCATAGAGTTGGGTCTCTGATACCGCATGTGTCGCCGAACATGAGAAGTTTGGTCACGTTTGGTGGCATTGTGGGCTTGTAGATGATGTTGGAGAGAAGTTCGTGCTGGTTCTCTTGATGTACATCAAGCTTGGTGGCAAAGATCGTGTCTTCGTCGTATGCAAATGCGATTGACAGCCCTGAAAATTCAATTTTAGTACCATTTTTTATTTTTTTAATTATTAGGTCATTTTCCAGCATTTTTAATCACATTTTTCGAAAAAAATAAAAATTTTTAAAAATTCCAAAAAATTTGTCATGATGACAATAATTTAAAACTTCAAAACCGTCATAAAATCGTCAAAATATAGTTTTTATAAATCAAATCCCTCTGGCAAAAACTTTTAAAAAATTTTGAAAAAAACATGTCATCCTTCCAAAAATGTGTCATGATGACATAATTAAAAAAGTATATTAAAACTGCCGAAAAAATCATTTTATCAACTTTTAGTTTATAAAGGCTATACACAAAAGTTTTTTTTTACAATTGTAAGAAAAATGTGTCATCTTTCCAAAAAACGTGTCATGATGACTATACTTTAAAGCTTCAAAAAAGTCATAAAATCGTTTTTCATTAATCAAAGCCCTCTGACAAAAATTGTAAGAAAATTTCGAAAAAACATGTCATAATAACTTTCAAAATATATGTCATAATGACAGAGTTTAAACACTTCAAAATAGACATAAAATGTTAACCGTTACATGTTTCAAAGTCGAAAAAACTCAAATCAAATATTTCCCAAAAAAATTGTCATCTTTCCAAAAAAGCTGTCATTATGAAAACAATAATGAAATTCTTAAAAACACAAATTCAAAACTCACCGCTAATACACCCGGAGAAGCCTTGATCTTTCGAGTGTACAGGTGAGATTTCGAGTACACTGCCAGCATGAATTGGTATATCTTTCATCCGGACCTCCCGCTTATCACCATCGATTCGAACTGTCAGTGTGCGGCCGACACTCGATGCTGACAGAGTTGGGTTCCTCTCGATGCTGATCAAATGAAGACGTTCGTCGCGGTGTTTGACTGTGAATTCTTCTCGATATCCACCAATATCGACGACTGCACGCGTACCGTAATCGGCCACCAGGATTTGGATACTGTAACTTTTAAATTTAAAAAAAAAATTAAATTAAAAAAAATGAAAGTAAAAATCTTTTCATTTCAAACCCATCTTTAGACATTTTTAAAATTTTAAACAAAGGTGACATGTTATACGATGAAACGTTTCCTGATAAAACATGTTTTTTCGTAAAAAATGTCCTCGAAATCACAAAAATGCAAAAATATAAAATCTACCGCATAAATAATGTCATAGAATCTTAATATCTTTCCAAAACACTATCAGTTCCAAATATTTTATAAAGGTGACATGAAACATGTTTCTTCGTATACCCTAAACATAAAAGGCAAAATCTGTGATTCAAAATGTTAAAAAGGTCACTTATCGTAAAAAAATTCCATTTTCAATTCAGTCAATGAAAAAAAAAGTCATATTCTACTGAAAACACCTTTCATCGTATAAAAAGTCAGTTTTTCGTTAAAACTCAAAAAGTTGATTTAAAATTGCAAGAAATACGATAAAAGCAGTATCAATATCTCATATTAAACCTATATCTTCAAAAAAAATAAAAAAATACTTTTTATAAAACACCTTTCATCGTATAACATGTCCCTTTTCTCATCAAAACTCCCTAAAATCGACCAAAACTCCCCAAAATACCACTCGATATCAAACAAACTCACTCCCCAAAGTTAATGATAGGCACTAGATCACTTTCAGTCTCCGGGAACCTCAACAAAGTCCATATCTTGTCCACGACACTTCTCTTAATGAATCCCAACGGTTGTCTGATGATCACTTCATCAGAATCCGTCAACTTCAGCGCGGCTGGCTTGTAGACGTCCATCTCTTGGCCTTGACAAGACCCGTCTAGCACTGATCGAACCGAAAAGTCTTTGGCACAATCACAGATCGGAGTTTTCGAATGGAACGGTGAGAGAGCGCGGCAGGGTGCGCCCTTGCACAGGTCCAGGAGTTGGGTGCAGTCCAAGCAGCCGGGCTAAAATTTTGAGAAAATTTAGTCATTTATAATTGAAATTAAAAAAAAAATATCAAATAAACCAAAAAATTGTCAAAGACAGCTAAAAAAATTGTCATCATGACACATTTTAAAAAAGATGACATATTTTTTCAAAAGATGAAACATTTTTTATAAATTCCAAAAAAAGATTTTTAATCGCAATTTTTAAGACCTAATGTCTGATAAAACATTATTTTTTCGTCATATTATGACATTTTAATCTTGTCATCATGACGCATTATTTTTTGAAAAGATGACATATTTTTCATAAACCTCAAAATTTTAATCGTAATTTTTAAGCCCTAAAATTTAATAAAACTTTATTTTTTAGCCGTAGAATAACTTTTATTCATGTCATAGTGACGAACTTTAAACCATGTCACGATGACACATTTCTTACAAATTTTCCAAAATTTAAATCCTTAATCTATGACTGTAGCAAAACAGTAAAATGTTTTTTCTCGTCATACGATGCTTTTTTAAAACAAGTCATGATGACACATTTTTTAAAAATTTTTCAAAAGTTAAAATCCGTAATTTTTAATTACAGACAAACAGTAAAATCTTGTTTTCTATTCATATAATGCTTATTCTAACCATGTCATGATGACACATTTTTTAGAAGTCTACTGAAACATCGTTTTTTCATTAAAAATCCATTAAAAATGCCTTTTAAGCTGTATTTTTCTTTAAAATCCCTAGAAAATCAATATTTTTTCCAAAGAATAACTCAAAGAATCCCATTTTACCTCAATGCTGAAGACCGGTCGCTCCGTATCAGCAAGAATAATCTGGTTTTGAGTCCTCAACATCCTCTCCAGATCCAGCACCTCACCTCCGACCCTGATCTCAGCGATACAACCTCGAATTGAAGGTGGTTTCTCCAACGTGTTCTCGAAGAAGTTGTTCTTAAAGTCTGGCTTCACACTCAGCTGATTCGCGGCCTTCTTGTAGAAGGCTCCACCCACGAATAGGACGTCTAATACGAGGTTGTGGATGTGGTAAATGTCATTGAGGCCTCTTTCTTTATCATTCGGTGATAATTTGCATATTTGTTCGTCGACAGTCAAGAACTGGAAGCTTTTGTGGCTGTAGAAAAGTGATACCCGGGTCCATTCGTTTCGACCAAAGCCTTTTGGTCGTTTCAGGGAGCAGGCACGGCACACCGCTTGCTCGTTCTGTTCGATTAGACAGGAGACGGCGGTCATCGTGTCACGTTCGTAGTGGACTTGGAAGCGTTGTTTGGCTGAGCCGGTGTCCTTGTGTTGGCCTAGTAGGACTAGTCCTACTTCCTGAAATTTCAGTATTTAATTAAAAATAGTAAAAATCCGTAGAACGTTTGTACGACGAACTTTTTTTAAAAAATTTTAAAAAATTTTAGATAAAAAATTCTCTATACAGAAGAAATTCTGTATAACGAACTCCTCTATAACGATACTCCCGTATAACGAACAACTTTTGAATCCCCGTCTACCACTACAAAGTGCATTTAAAACCCCTGTATAACAAAACTCCTTTATAACGAACAAGGAGTTCCACTGTATAACGAATCGCTAGGGGAATCAAAATTCGTTCGTTATAAAGAGCTTTTGTTATAGAGAGGTTTAAAATGCACTGTGTAATGATAGCCGGGCATTCAAAAGTTGTTCGTTATACGGGGGTTTTGTTATATAGAGGTGCCTTATTTACTGATTTTATTTTACTACCATCTTTTGAAATATGATAAAACAAAATTTCAAAGTTATCACCAAAAACACGTTTCGTCGTATAACATGTCCCCAACGACTTCGTGACAGCGTTTTACAATAAAAAACCTAAAATTCATGTAAAAATGCTCAATATACTGATTTACTACCATCTAACATATCATTTTCAAATGAATTGTCGATTTAAAAATATCTCCAAAAACACATTTCATCGTATAACACGTCTCCAATCAATTTTTTCGTCGTATTTTACAATAAAAACCTAAACTACATGTAAAAATAACAGATTAAACAGTTTTAATACAATACCATCATCCCAAAAATCAAATTTTAAAATTATCACTAAAAACACGTTTCATCGTATAACATGTCCCCCTACTTACCGAATCACTCTTAAACACCACAGAAACGGTCTGTTTGCCCCGAAACTCAGGATAATAGAAGAAAGCGAGATGAGTTGAGTTTCTATTCAGCGTGTAGGCCAGATTTGGGTCTGGGATAGTGCACTTGGCCACGGAGTGATTGCCAGCGGGTATTAGAGCCGAGTTCGGAGCTTTGCATTCGCAGAAGCTGGCTTCGCTTTTGGGACAAATCTTTCGCAGAATGTGCTGAGTATTGGAGACTTGCAGCTTCAATGATCCTCCACATTCCCAACTGCCAGAGTTCAGGGTGACGGCTGTCACCAGGCCATTGATGACAATATCGAATTTCTCGAGTTTGTGGGTTCGGCCGCGGCTTGACAGCGAGATGCCAGTGTTCTGACGGCCATCAATGTAGAGGTACATGTTTGGAATGTCGATGAAGGCGGTGTGCCATCTTCCATCGCCCAAGAGCTTCATTGGGGAGACGAATTGATTCACTGAGATTAGGTAGCCTGAAATTTTAAAAACGTCACAACTTTTTGTAAAATTATCAAATTCCAAAATTTTACAAATAAAGTGAAAAAGGCAGCCTTTATCAATAGCTTACATTTTTATACAGATATTTCCAAAAAATGACATGTTATAAGATGAAACATGTTTCACCGTATAACATGTCTTTAGCCATTTTTAAAAGAAAGTTTATATAAAAAACGTCTTGTATACTTTAAAAATGACAGGAGGTGTGTTATACAAAAAACATGTTTCATCGTTTAACTTGTCTCCTTATCAGCCAAAAAATTTAAAAAAACCACAGAACCGTCAAAAATAACCTAACTTCCAATATTATTCAAATTTTCAACCATTTTGCATCTCCCCCTTTCAAAGACTCAAAAACCCTCCCCCTACCTTCAAGAATGTCCACCCTGACAGGACCGTCCGTTCCTTTGATAGTCAAGAATGGTGTTGATGGAACATCAGTCCTGAACGCAAAACTGATACTATTTCGTCCAGAAATGTCGATTCCAATCCGATCTGATGGTGAGTTCAACTCGAAAAGGCATTTCGGATCTTTGAGTATGTTCTGACGACATCTCAAGGGGGTGGTCTTCACTTGAATCGACATATTACCCACGTTTGTTGGTGGGAAAATGTGTAGAATTCCTGCGTCTTCATTTTCCAATATCTTTATTTCTTCGACGGCTGAAAATAAGGTTATTATAGTTTATTTTTTCCTCAAAAAACTAACAAAAACTTTTGAAAACTCAAAATTTAAGCCTAAATACCATGATTTCTGCTCAAAAACACCCCTAAAACAATATAAAACCACCCTCTCCTACACCCAAACCCAAAATAGTACCAAAAAGTAACATAACATGGCAAAAATGCGTACGCCACTTGAGATTCCAAGGACGTCTCCGATCCAAGTACTAATCAAGCGCACCGTTGCTTCACTTGCCAGATCGGACGGGATGGCGTGCGTTCAACGGGCTATGGGCGTACACAACTCTCTCTCTTTCCTTTTCGAACCCTTTTCTTTTGGGGCTGATTGGTGGATTAATACAGGTAAAATATAGTTGGAAAAAGTGTTTTTGAGGATAAAAATGTACAAATTTAAAAAAATTTCACTGCTTTTTAAAAATTTAAAAATTCAAAAGTTCAAGAAAGTAAAATAAGACTAAAAGACATTTTTAGGTTAAGAGACAACCAAAAATTTTTTAAAAAACAAAATGTGAAATCCCCGAGCGATTCGACGTACAGGAGTTCTCTAATATAAACTGAAAACCCTGTATTAGAAATCTGTCAAACATTTTAAAGTTAGAAAAAAATTCCGTTAGACTTTGTTATGCAGAAGTTCTATTGTGATAAACTTACTTGGTTTGCTGGAGTTGAAATGAAACGTTCTTCTCGTTCCTTTGATCGATTCCACTGTGAATTCAAATCTAAAAAAGACCAAATATTGTATTTATATTGTTAAAAACGAAAAATCTCAATGAATATCAGTATTTTTCAATTTTAAAATTAATTGAACTGAAAACCGTATTTTACTTTCATAATAGAAAAATAGTTTTACTCACATTCTATCCATTCCAACATCTGGAATCCAGCTGACAGAGAATTCTTGATAACAAAAGTCTGATTCTTCCATTAACCAGCGAAGGAATGCCCAACTTGACACTCTGTAAAGTGACCATATTATAGTTGAAATCAATTTGAATTTAATTTTTTGTCATTTTTTGTTCTGTAAACAAATTTATTGCCGTATTTTATTTTGTAAACAAAGTTACTGCCGTATTTTATTTTGTAAATTTCTTGTCAATTTTTATTTTTTAAAGAAAGTTCTTGACATTTCCTGTTTTGTAAGAAAAGTTCTTGCCATTTTAAAATTTGTAAAGAAAGTTCTTGCCATTTTTCGTTCCGTAAAGAAAGTTCTTGCCATTTTATGTTTTACAAAGGAAGTTCTTGCGCTTTCCTACTGTGTAAAGAAAGTTGTTGCTGTTTCAGTCAAAAAATCCATTTTTGTAAAGAAAGTTCTTTCCCATCTTGCTTCAAGTACTATAACACTGCTTGAAGTACTTTAATACTCAAAATATTTGCAAATACTTAGCACTTTTGTTTGTAAATCTAATCCTCGCACGCTTATTTGTGTCTCTAAAAGATCTCTTTCATGTTTGTGTTGCGGCTTCGCAGCAAAAGCCAAATCCCAATAAAAATTTTGAATATGATCCGATTTATTATTATATTGTGATCGCGTGCCGATGATCTATTTAATGACACAAATAGACCTGTAAAGAGGGTGGGACCAATTTGCCGGCCTTCGCCAGTTAAATCTTTCGTTTCGAAACATAAGCTGACCACTGGAGCCTTAATTTAAAAAAAAACCTACTGATATCCGATAGTTTTTGGCTCCGAATCCAATTTGGTCCATCGTTCCAAGGCATTTCTGATTGAAACTCCGACCGGTAACAGCTTTTCCGGATCGTTTGGCATCTCGCACTCCACGTTATATGAAGTTTGTTGATCTGGTGATAGTGGCAAAACTTTGACGCCGGTCTCGCCGCTCAAGAAGTGCTCCAAACATGTTCTTCTGGGCTCTGAAAGCATGTATAATATAATTTTTTGTCTTTATTTAGTTTTTTTGTATTTTAGAGATTCTGCTTGTTTCCCACTGTAAAAAGCAAGTTATTGTGGCTTATTAAACCCAAGTTACTGTAACTTATTTTACTATCATTTCAAACTTTTTCCAAATTTTCATATTTTTTCATATTGTGAATGCCGTGTGACCTTGTATGGGAAAACAAAGCGAATTAGAGGCTCTTAAGACGAGGATAAATGGACGGATCCTTAAACTCTGTTTGTTTTACCCAAATCTCCCCCCCCCCCCAATTACGCGCTTCAATAATTCATTTGTTCGTATGTTTTACCGGTCGATTTAATTTCGACAACATTGCGATTTTAAAACGAAAAATAATTTTTTTAATTCAAAGAAAGCAAGTTGAATGCCAACAACGTATTTTACATTCATAGAAAAAAAAAATTATAAAAAAAGTTTCTTAAAAAATTGACATATATTTCTTGTAATCAAGTTCTTGCCGTTTTAAATTTTCTATAGGAAATACTTGCCATTTTTTGTACTGTAAAAAAAGTTCTTGCCATTTTATGTTCCGTAAAGAAAGTTCTTGCCATTTTACGCCTTGTAAAGGAATTTATAGCGGTTTTTTATTTTGTAAAGAAAGTTCTTGCAATACAAAGGACGTTCCACTATTTGTTTACAAAAATAAGCAAAAATTTGCCTTTCGCAGCCTGCAGGTGACATGTTATACAATAAATGTGACTTTTTGTTCGATAAAGAAAGTTCTTGCCATGTTTTGCTTTGTAAAGAAAGTTCTTGCCATCTTTCGTTTTGTAAAGAAAGTTTTTGCCATTTCATGTTTTGTAAAGAATGTTCTTGTCATTTTTTTTTGTAAAGAAAGTTCTTGCGCTTTTTTGATTTGTAAAGAATGTTCCTGCCATTTCAAGTTTTGCAAAAAAAATTCTTGCCATTTCTTTATAAAGTTCTCAATTCTTTGCCGTTATAAACGCCATAACGTTAATCATTTCCCTAATTTATGCCATTTCAAATCGCCTGCTTCAAGGCCATTATTCTCGAATTTCGTGGCCAACTTTCGTGAATGGCCGTTTAATGCATAATTCGATTTAGCCAATTGTTTTTAGAAACATAAACGAAACAAGGCTCAGCTGGACATTCTGTCGTGCGCGAAGAGCAACAGATGCGCTAAAAGGATAACATACCATTAAAGCAGATAATTCGCGCGGATTTTTCGATAATTCTTTGCTGTACTGTAATTTGATGCTTTTAGGGGTAAATTAAAGAATTTTAAAAAATCAATAATATTTTGTTTTTCAAATAATTCTATGCCCCCTTTCAAAGCAAATTTGGGTTAGGGAGCACAGAATTATTTGAACAACCTAATAGGTTATTGATCACAAAATATCGTTGATTTTTGAAAAAATATTGAGGTAGCCAATGCCCTTTTTCATTATACTTTTCTCTTAACAGTTGCATTTATCGTATTTTACCTAACAAAAAATATTAGAAGATACCAAAAAACCCTTTAAAAACCAATAACTATGTTACACAGGCTATAAAACATCATTACTAGCCAAGTTTTCATCAAAAACATCAAAATGTTCAAGAAACGCATGCCATTTCTCATTGTATTTATCTATAAAAGATGAAGACCTCGTATTTTACCTAATAACCAATATTAGAAAATAACATGGAATGCTTTAAAAGTCCATAATTATGTTATCCAGGCCATTAAACATTATTAACAGCCAAGTTTTTACCAAAAACATCAAAATTTTTGAAAAACAAAGTATAAGACTTTGATACTTCATTATCTTACACCGAACTGATATTCCGCATTTTAACAAATACCACATCAAAAAACATCAAGCAATATTGTATACCTTACAAACAGTTCATTATATCCTTTAATCATACATTTTCCTCAATTTTATGGTCAAAAACATTAAAAATAAGCCAAAAATCAAGTATAAGATGCCTTTCAGCTGACATTTTATATATTTATAAGCCTGCATCGTAAAAATTTCTATATCAAACAGCTTCGAAAGACCACAAGCAATGTTTTAAACTTAAATTTAATTCTATTCTACTTCATTACCATTAGAATCCTTCAAGGTTTTGTTAGAAAAACATCAAAATTTGCGAAAAAGCGACACAGTCAACATCATTTGATCATTCCAGCGCAATGAATTACGTATTTTACATAAAATTCAACTTCTCAAAAAGCCTCCACAATCCTTAAAACCAAAATTTCCGAACAGATTGCTATCTAAATCAGCATTAATTTCAACCTTTTCAACGTAAAACCTCAAAATCTCTTAAAAACCGAGGAGAAGGTGAGAAACCAAGTCAATTTTCAATACCTTCTTCATGTTTTTGATCCAAACCACCTTTTTTGAACCAAAGTCTGTTCATTACCTTCATTTTAAGACTATATTTGACACAATACGACAAGAAATAACGATGGCAACCTTAGGTCTTCATGAATAATATCAAGAAAATAGAGATCAAAGCAAAACTATTGACAAAATAGCTTAATAGTAAAGTGAAAGCTGGGTTTATTAGTTTAAATAATGTTACTTCAGGTTTATATTAGGTGAGAAATTGTTGCTTTTTCTCAAAAATTTTTAGCTAAAATACCAACTTTTCAACTTTGTTATCTAAATATTACGTCCTTCCAGAAAAAACCGTATTTTACACGTTTAAACCGTAGTTTTAAATACCATTTTATAAAAAATGCTTTATTATCTTAATACTAACTTTTCTTTATCCATCTTACCCAAAACCATTGCATCAAAACCGAATATTATTTTAGGTATCTAACATAACATAATGCTCGCAAACTATCATTTTTTTCATTAACCTCAACTAAAATCAAGCAAAACAGTCCAAAACAAAAGCTTCAACTTACCGACCGGTCGTTGTGCGTGAACATGCACTTGAAGTGCTAATAATAGGCCGATAGCTGGCCAGATCATTGCTGAAATTATGTTGTTTTAGATCAAGTTAATGAAAGATTATAAAATTAGGTATAAATCGCGTAATAATACACAGAAACGGTCAGCAGCGTATTTTACAAAGGATTGTACAATATTTTCTTCAAAGAGAAAACTAACTATTTTTGTAAGATCGGAAACGCACGTTGCGCCCCAGGAACTGCAGGTTGCAGGTCCGTGTTATACGATGAAACCTGTTTTAAAAAAAAAATTACAAAACTATAAAAACTATGATTACCCTTATAAAATATAAAACTCAAGCTTCCCTATCCCACCCCCACCTCCATCTTTTTACAAAAGCTGCAGGCTGCGTACCTGTGTTATACGATGGAACCTGTTTTCAACCAAAAATGACTAAACGATAAAATAAAACCAAAAAAAAGCTTTAAATGAGTAAAAACCCTCTCGAAAAAACAATAAAAATTTTAACAGTGCAAATAAAAATCGGAATTTCAAAAAATGACCTCAGGGCGCAAAATCGGCTCATGGCTTTTTGATTACTAATCGAGACTGACAGCAAGCCGAGGTAATCCGAATAAAAGCGGCGATTTATGTTTTTGAAGACCGTCGCGTTTACCGCGCCATGAAATTAGGGGCGGTAACTGGGCTATACGGCCATATGGCCAAGGGGGTACTGTAATATAATATCGTACTTCAAAATTTCAAAATTTTTTGAAACGAAGCTTTAAATTTTAATCTTAATGTTACTGTAGTAGTAGTCATATGAAAAATTTTTGTAATAGTCATCATATAAAAGCTTACTGTAGTTTCCATCATACAAAAGATTACTGTAGTAGTCATCATATAAAAAATTAGTGTAGCAGCCGCTATATAAAAATTATTGTAGTAACCGCCATACAATATTATTTTTTATTACCTAATTTACCAAATAAAGCAACAAAAACTACAGTAACCCAAAATTTTTCAAAAATTTTAAAATTTCGCTAGAAATCCCAAAAATTTCCCTAAGGCATAATGTTTCAAATCTTGCGAAAAATCCAAAACCGGCCCAAACTTTCTAATATGCAAACTTTAATCGGCGATAACCCGCAAATGCATTTTTTGGGTTTCGAATTTGAAGCCCATGCCCTGAGGGTAAGATAAGAAGGGGCGCGTATTCAAATTTCCGGATGGTCAGAGTTTTGATGGCATTCGCCGTCTTAAGTGGGTAAAAGGTTGTGGCCCACGGGAATCGAATAATAAAAGCTTATCGCTGAGGACAATCGGGCAGGGTTTTTAGCCAAAAGGATTTTTTTTAAAATTTAACCTGCCCTTCAATAAAATAGCCATATTGTACAGTAGTGTACACTACAATATACTACCATAACGTACCTACTCTACACAACGCAACGAAACCCTACCTTGCTTTGCTTTGCCTTGCCTTGTCGTATCCTACCCTACCCTACCCTACCTTGCCTTGCCTTGTCATATCCTACCCTACCTTTCCTTGCCTTATCTTGCTTTGCCCTGCCTACTTTGCCTTGCCTCGCCTGTTCCTACCCTACCCTGTCCCGCCCTGTCTTTTCATTTCCTGTCCAGTCTTGATCTGTCCTACCCTATAATTTACCCTACCGCACAGTATATCATGCCCAAAGTTAAACAAGTCATTTTAAAATGTTTCAAACTTCAGCACTAAACTTACTCCAAAACCCCCTCCCACCCCAAAAAGTGCACTGCCATCCCAAAACGAAACCCTAAACGCCCTTTTCAGCACAAAACTCATGATCGCGTGCCCTGAGGCATTTAAGTGGGAGCATAAGGTGGCGATCGGCGGAAACTTAAGTAGGCCGTTGAAAGTTTTGTGAAAACAAATCCCGAAACACTCGAGAGAAGCGCTACGATAATTAATGAGACATTGAAATTCGAAAAAAATTCGAAAATTTCGCGCAAATTTTTTTTCTCGTGTCCTGAGGGCAATTTGCGGCTCTTCGCACCTTTTGGCCAAGTTGTTTGGCCAAAGAGATTCGCGGTTAATGAAGGATGGGGAATGTTGCGGCGGTAAATATTTGATGAGTGTGAAAATCTTCATAAAACACGAGGGTTTCATGTTATAAAAGAAGGAGAATATCGATATGAAAGTTGAGGTAATATTAGCTAGAAGAGTACGATAAGGTAGTATAAGGAATTATAGTAAAAGCAAAGAAAGGCCAGACCAGGGCATACAATGGTAAGGTAAAGTATATTAGAGTACTGTAGGGTAGTGTAGGGTAGGGTAGGGTAGGGTAGAATAGGGTAGGGTAGGGTAGGGTAGGGTAGAGTAGGGTAGGGTAGGGTAGGGTAGAGTAGGGTAGGGTAGGGTAGAGCAAGGCAGGGCATGACAAAGCATAGAAAAGCAGGGCAGGGCAAGGCAAAGCAGGCCAAGTAAGGGTAGGATAAAGTAGGATAGGGAAGGGTATATTATGGTAAAATGAATGGTAAGTATGAATAGTAGGGTAGGGTATAGTACAGTAGGGCAAAGTAGAGCACGGAAGTGTAGGATGTAGTAAGTTAGAACAAGGTAAAGTAGCGTAAGCCAAGTCAAGCATAAGCCACTAATACTAAATGCCATGCCATTTTTAACCAAAAGCTTTAGTCCAGTCCAAACCCACAAAGTTAAAGTAATCAAAACCCAAACCTAATTGCCAGTCCATTATCCAAAAACGTGATCCCAATGTGCTTCACAAATAAAGAAACTTAATCAAACAAATGCACCCAAAATAGCCGTTTGAGCCGCCCAAATTGGCCAAGAGATTTGGAATTAGTAAGCCACGCCCACTTTTATGAGGTTATAGGTTTAATGCGATAAACAATATCTTTTCTTACGATTTTAAAAATTAAAATTTAAAAAAATATTTTAAATAAAAAATTTTAAAAATAGGCTTGTATTTTTTATTTAAAAGTGCATTTTTAAGTCAAAATTTTTTGTTAAAGAACCAAAAACACAACAAGATTTACCGCAGTTTTGACTTTGTTAAAAGCGTGCGACCAGCCGGTTACAGGCTCTTGAGCATTCAGCACCTTAACGAAATACATTGAAACCTCCGTATAAGGATACTCCTCTATATAACAAAACCCCAGTATAACGAACAACTTTTGAATCCCCGGCTATCATTACACAGTGCATTTTAAACCTCTATATAACGAAACCTCTTCATAACGAACAAATTTTAATTCTCCTAGCGATATAGAGGTTTCACTGTATTATAATATTCTATATTTTTATTTTAGACTATGTTATCCTATCTAAAAATCAAGTTTTTAATATTAAAAAGCCATAAAAAAATTTTTTTAAAATATTTTTAAACCCGTTCATACCCTTAATAAATTTAACACAATACCTACTTTAAACTTAACAACCCAATACCTATTACCTAATAACCTCATACCACATTTTCTTATACATATTTAGGTCTAAATCTACATATAATAAGCTATAATACCAATCGGAAGTGCCTCGAGATCGATGACAAAGCGCGCATCCCTAAACAACATCCGGTTGTCCTCAACGGAAACGGGACCAAAAACGCCGCGAATCACTTCAAATTTACTTTAAAATGCGCGACGATTTCGGCACGTTTTATGTTCGCATTTAAATATAGTCCACATGTCGGTAGATGTAAGAACATGATCGACAAATCAAATCGAAATGCTTTTAAAAAAATTTAAATCATACTGCGACACCTTATAATAGTGGATCCACAACTTTCAATAAGCATAAATTATTTTATCACACACCTTACGAAAATGGCAAGAACTTTCTTTACAGAACAAAAAATGCCAAGAATTTTCTTTACAAAACAAAAATAGCAAGAACTTTCTTTACAAAACAAAAATAGCAAGAACTTTCTTTACAAAACTTTAAACAGCAAGATCTGTCAGTCGAACATCATATCACAAGCTATTCAAAGATAACAACAATTTCATACCGATGCCTTTTTAAAATTCGAAAAACCAAATTTTGTGACCCTCACATTCCCCACAACCGCGCCTATATTAACATTCCGCAATTGTCGCATTCCCATGAAAACACGCCTGCTTCTTCGCCTCGCAATTCTCGGGCTACAAAAGTTTGCGGCATAAATGAAAAAACAACAGAAAAATGTAACGGCTTCGAACAAGGCCGGTGCTAATTAAGCTCAGCCCATTTCGCCGGTTTTTTTAATGGAAGGAATCTCCACAAAAGACAAAACTTTTTAATGCCAGCCGGGGCGGGGGATTTACATTCGGATGGGATTGGAAACATTGTTTTACGTAATGAAGAGATTTTAGGATTTTGACAGTAGGATATACCTAATTGTGATATAAAGGCTGACCACATAAACCTAACACAGCAAATTATATTTACAAAACGTACGCCTTTAGTTGAACTAGCTCTAACGTACGCCTTTAGTTGAACTAGCTCTAATGTATGATTTAGTTGTTTACTGTGAAATCTACTCCAATGCCATCACCAGGTATAAATATAAATAAACCTTAACCATCTTAACTAACCCTATAGCCACAAACTATATCACACACAGTCTGTTATGAACCCTACTACGCATAAAATTTGACAGTTACAAAAAGCCAGCGTCTTTAATGGCCAGAACACCTGGACCGTTTCGTAAAAGACGGAGCTAAGACGAAAAATGTCCCATCCGGATTAAAACCCGAAAAAGAATCTGTTTTCGCGGATAGTAACATTGATAAACAACAAACAAATTTTTTAAAAGTAAGAGACAGGTTTATTCTAATTTTTCAGAAGAAAATGATATCAAAAGTCTTGATGTTCGGCAGCACGTCATTAATAGAAGAGAAACGATGAGATAGAGTAAGATAACAGTAGTAATGGCAACAAATTGTAGCGGCAGTAACAAGTAAATCTTCATATTGTAGACTCAAAAACTAAAACCATTGTGAGTAGGCTGTAATGTAAAATCCTTGTCTACAGTAACAAATTCCTCCTGAAAAATAATTTAATAAAATATAAAATTATAAAATTGCTTGTACATTTATTATACAAC